GGCGGGGGGGGCACCAGAGCAGAAGAGGGGGGTTCGGATTGGGTTGCTCTGGGAAAGGGGCTGCTTTGATCGTGGGTGAAGCCTGGGGGTTTGGGATGGGAAGAGGTGGGGTGTGCAGAAGAGGAGCTTCAGTGTGGGAAGGGGCTGGACACATTCTCGTCTGGAATTTGGGGTGAAGAATGGAGCAGCCGCAAGGTGCAAGCTAGGATTCTCCAGGAAGAGCCCTTTCTGGTCACCCACGGTGGCCTCGCAGGGGCCTAACGTTTCGTGTGCTCAGGAGCTCAGGTGGCAACAGGGCCCAGCAGCCCTGGACCGGGCTCCCCGGGAGCTCTTTGGTCCTCAAACTCTCCTCTAGGCTGAGTGAAGAGCTCCTGTCCGGCCCCAGTCTGCAAGTCTGCAGCAAGGGACTAGGGGCCTGTTGGGGAGCCCCTCACCCTCATCCCTGTGCTCCAACTGCAAGCCTTCCAGAGCCTTCCAGTCCCCTGTCTGCGCTCCACACCAGGGGTTTTCAAACTTGAGCGTGCAGCAGCTTGACCCGAGGGGCTCATTAAAACCCTGGGAGCTGGGCCTCACCCCCAGGTCCCTGACTGTCTGTCTGGGGTGTTCTTGGCCCTGGCTAGCATGAGAGTGGCCTGGGGAACACCGTCCAACGACATTCCCGATCTAGACCATTAAGCCAGACTCTGAGAGCAGGGCTTGAGCCCTTTCAAAGAGACCACATTCTAATATTTCCTCCACCTGACTTGTTTCTCTTTTTGCAATCTCTCTGACAGATTATTTGTTTACAGATTGCTCGCTACTATTACAGCCTGAAGTTCTAAAGGGCGAGGATTACATTTTTACTGAAGTTACTGTGTCCTGGCCGAGTGACTATCAGGGCACCTCACTGATAGGTCCAACATTTTTGTTTCCTGAGTGATGTGGATAATCCACTCAGGTAGGACAGGTCCCCCAGACCTCCGAGAAAGGATGAGAAAACGGGCTGGGGGTGGGGTTCAGGTAGGAGACAAGCAGGAGAAGGTACAGGCAAGAGGGCTCTTTCTCAACCCTGATTTTCCACAGCTGATTTTCCACTTTGGGGATTATTGTTTTAAACCCCAAGTCAGCATCTTCTGTCTCTCAGTAGGATTCACACTGTGCCCCTATACGATCCAGCCATGCGCAGACCAACCTAGAGAACGTAAGTTTATTATCCGGCTCAGAAACACGCACAATTAAGAACTCGCACTGTTTTATTTTAGAAACTGTATGCTTGGAAGAAACCAGTCTGAAAGGCTACGTACCATATGATTCCAACTATATGACAGTCTGGAAAGGGCTCAGCCATGGAGACAGTGAAAGGATCTGCAGATGCCAGGGTTTGTGGTGGAGAGAAATGGTCCTGCTAGGGCTAGGCAAAGCGCTGGAGTGTGAGGCGGTGAAGCTGCTCTGAGTGCGTCTGTAATGGTGGATACTCGTCAACGCAACTGTCAAAACCTCAGGACTGAGCCTGAGGTAAAAGTCAGGGTGCTGTCACCCTTTCTAACAAAGGAACCGTTGGATAAGGGGCGCCGTAGGTGGAATCATCTATGAGGTTATTCATGGGGAGGGCAGTGGATGTATGGGAACTCTCTGGACCTTCTGCTCCATTTTTCTATCAACCTAATGCTGCTTTTCAAAAACAAAGTTTGTGTTCAAAATAAATAGATGTGGGCCAGGGATTTTGCTCAGTGGTTCCACCACCTGCTTTGCAAGGTCCTGAGTTCGATCCCTGGTTAAAAAAAAAGGATGCCAAAGCCAAAACAGAAGTGTATCTTAAGTCAGTGATTGTTGAGCTTCTTATTTTTCAGAGTAAATCTTTGTAAAGCCCTAATGTGTAAGGAAGCAGAGGTACCCTATGTTTTCTCATCTAGCTATTTGATTGTTGTGGAAAAATAAAGTTCTCCTTTGGTAAAGCATTTTATAAGTATTTTGGGGAAAGCCCTACAGTTTCCCAGTCCCTGAACAAGACCTTTAAGATTCCCTAGTGCTTTGGATTGTCCATGCCACTACTTCCAATTTCTTCATATGAATGGATAATTCAGAGCCTCTGATCTTCCTCAAAGCCCAGGGAATAGCTTGTACTTCCAGGTGTTTGTCGCTTCTGTTCTTTGAACCCTAAAAGAAAGCTTTGTTTTCCATGATTTCCTTCCCACTAACAAAAAAAAAGTAGCCAAAAGGTGTGGTACCTTGTATCCCATGTTCCACACTCCTGGTTCTACACTTTTGCTGTAAACAGTAAGGAATCAGGACAGTGTAGGTTATGAGCAAAGTTTTTCCAGGGGCTCTTTCTGACAAGTGACAGTTTAAAGGCATACATCTCTGCTAGCTGAGAGAAAGCTGTCCTGGCTTTGACGAGAACTGCCCAGAGCTTACCAGAGATGACACATGAGATCTGTGAGTTTGGGAAATGAGAATCGGTCATTGTGACGTGCTGAGATTCCTAAAGAAGGGGTCTGTTAGTCAGGCTGTGTGGCTGGGATAATGCTGTATAACAAACAACTCCGAGAGTTAGTTGCGTGAATTTTAGGAAAGCAGAATCTCCCAGGAAAGTTCTAGGTAGCTAATTGGGCCTAAATTCAGAATGAAGTCTGGTAGCCCTCGGCTACTGAGGTGAGGCTGTCAGATCCGTATTCTCTTTCTGCAGCGCTATGGTTTGGATCAAAAATGTCCCCCAGGAAAGTCCGTTTATTAGAGGTAGGGCTTGGATCACAAGGGCATGGACCAGGACCCTGCTGGGCTCACAATGGAATGTGCTGTTGGGAGGTGGGGCCTGATTGGAGGCATAGATCCCTGGGGCTGGGCCTCTGGGGTGTAAATCACTGGATCTTCCCTTAGCTCTCTGCTTCCTGGATGCCATGAATGGAGCGGTTTTCTTCCACCACGATGTTTTTGGTTTGGAAGGAGCCCATTACAGACTGAAACCGTGAGCCAAACCTTTCAATTGTGTGTATCAAGTATTTTATCCCAACAAAGGAACATTGACTAATACTTGGAGGTACCACAAGTTAAACTTTTAGGCCTTTGTGTGTTCTATTTATTTATTTGCCACCAGGTATTGAACTCAGGACCTCGTACTTGCAAAACAAGCGTGGGGCCACTGGGTTCAATCCTGGGCCCTGCCTTTGCATGTTCTTAAGTCAACTGCTGAGGTGAAGTCTTCTGGAAGTCTCATCTTGCTGCCACACCCGACCAATGAACTATGACCTAGAGCCATCTGTAACTATCAGCCCATCGGGAATGGGCATGCTTGCATCTCTCATTTGCATTAGCAGAGAGGGCGACAATCTAGGTGGGAAATACTTCAGGGGGGGGGGACCGGGCCCTGTCTTTGTTCCTTAGGAGCGCACTTTCATTTTGTACCAAAGCCTGTGGCTCCCAGCTTGCAGAATTTTTGGTTTTCAAATAAAGCCTTCCTTTTCATCTTGCACTCTTTCTTAGTGAATTCTGCTTGATGGCAGCAAGATATAAGTCCACGAGGCTGGCTTGGTGACAGTTTGTGGGCTGGGCCGAGGGTGTGGCTGCTTCCCTGTCTCCTCATTCTGGGCCCCAGGCTACAGACACTACTGGGGACCTGTGGTTCTCTGGGAGGACAAAGAGTTTAAGAGGAGAAAGTGAGGCTGAATAAAATGCCATGCCTATTAACACACTCTCACCTCCGCTCACATTCCATTGGCAAAGCAGAACATTAAGGCCGGGTCTCCAGTCTGTAGGCAAGGAGAACAAATGATACAGTTATATGATCTGCCGCTCCACTGGTTATAATTAGAGATAGAGGAGAAAAAGATGGAGTTTTAGAATAAGATGAGAACATTCTAGAACAAAGAATAAATAAGATTTGAAATGTTGAATTAATGACTTGGGGGTAGAAACTCGAAAGTGGTTTGAACTTGAAAGCAGTTACTTCGAGGACTTCAATAGTGCAGGCTGGGTAGAGGTTAGGGCTCGGGGAAAATGTGCATGTGCAACCAGGAACAACGTTGGGGCCCAGCCCCATACCTGCCTTGTTCTAGCTCTGTGGCCTTGACTGAATTATTCACCCTCCCTAAGCCCGAGGAAGCATTAGGTTTTACTGATTTCTCCAGTGAATGCCACTTCTACATTAAAGCAACAAGTACCATGGGGCTAGGATTTTGAAATGTTCATGAATTTCATTTAAAGGAGTATTTAAAAGAATTTTACAGACTTGCAGGGTGACTGTTATGGACATTGGTGCTCCCTCCGGTGTGTCTTCATGGGTATCTGCTGCAGGGTAGATGAGAGCACTGACCGGGGCCGCCTCTGTACCCTCAGACCCACAAGCTGGCAAAATGACAGCCCACACGTCCGCTGCGGGGCTGCTCGGTGAAGATTTTACTTTTAAATTATAGTTTTAAAAATAACAAAATTTGCCTTGCTGACTAATTTGAAGTGTATCGTTAAGTTGTGTTAAGCTTATTCTCCTTATTGTGACATTGATTTCCAGAACGTATTTGTTTTATAAAACTGAAAGTCTGCCTCCATTAAATACAACTCCCTTCCCCACCCCAGCCTCTGGC